TTACTAGTAGCCTGCATGGCAGGCGGTACGTAGGAAATACCGCCTGCTGCAAAACTAGGTGTAAATGAACTACCGCCCCTGAAGCATCAAAGCTATTTATAGATGTCATTAAGTAAATATTCAAAATTAGCCACTCCCAAGTTGCTCCCAAGTCCCAACTGCCCAACATAAAATAAATTCCTTGATTCTCATCACCGCCCGACTGAATTTTAAAATCCTCGTGAAAATGTTTTATATTTTGTTTTATAATATAGCATTTGTAAATTCTGAACGCTGATTGGCTAAGAGCCGTGTTGATATAACTCCATGTCAACACGGGAAATTTTCCGCCGCTTGTTAACACGGAAATTTTTCTTATTCTTCGGGCTTTTGACATTGCTATATTATAAAACAAATATAAAACATTTTTCCGTATTGATATATAGTTATATCAGCACTCGTGGAAGTTGGGAAAACTCGAAATTGTGTGAAAACACTCCGCCCTTCGGGCGTCGTGTTTCCACACAATTTCTCGTTTTCCCAATTTCCACTCGTGTTGATATAACTGTATATCAACACGGAAAATGTTTTATATTTGTTAAATACAATATAAATGTACCGCCCGAAAAAATAATTCAAGACAGTTAATTTTTAAATATTTTATATAGGGTTTTTATTGCCATTTTAAATTTCCAATTTGAAACAAACAGAATTTTGAATGAAATTTCATTGTATTTTAAAGAAATTCAGTCATTCTGTCATTGTTCGTGGAGATACGAACTATTGATATATAAATTATATAAATATAAAATATAAAAAATAAATCTCCCACTGTCTTTGACATTTCAACGGTGTAGACTGTGTCTAGTGATGAGAATCAAGGAATTTATTTGATATGTTAATATAAACCAAGCCCATTTAGCTGCCTTAAAACGGTGGTTTAATAAGCTCAAAATACAAAGCATGCAAGTCTATACTATAGATTCATCATCAGTCAACAACCAAACTGAAAGTTTTGAACCTTATAGAACGATAGTTTTTATTTGTTTACAACTATACATATTCAACGGGTATATAAGAGTTTAACTGTTATTTGATAATTACTGCATCAACCGGCCCCTAGTTCATACTTTGGAGGTTCGTATATCTATCAAGTATCTTTGGTTCAGAACATGACGGGCCTATGGCTATATGAAAATCCCACCGTTCGATTCAGTGAAGAAATATCT